CTCCAGCCACTGCACACAGTAACAGTAGCACTTAGCCCCACCACTGCACCTTTTCCATGCCCCTGCCCATGTGTGTGCATGTTTTCTATCTCCTACTTGTGAATGCCCGCAATCCAGTTCACACCACTGTAATCGGGCATTAGTTTCCTGGGTTTCCCAGGTTTCAAATCTATGTTGTGCTCATACGCCACTCTCTGTCAGGTCTGCCTAGTCCAATACGTGCCTTACCTCTTTTCCACTCCTTTCCAAGGCTTTTTACCCAATATCTCTGACCTGGTCTGTGTCTTCAGTGTTGCTATCGCCCTGGGCTCTTTGTTCAGAAGTTCCATCTATCGTGGTCCCACATGGCCACACTGAACCGGGCCAACAGGTAGGGTATAGATGGTCAGTGAATCTCCTCCTTCCCACCCTCCTTGCTCTATCTGTGTCTCGATTCGGCATTCACCTGGTTCTCCAGTGCTTTAACTGCTGTCCAGAACTCCGAGATCACTAGCTGTGTTACTTTTTATTTGGGAGTACACAAGGTTGCGACTGTTTACTCCACCATCTTACCCTCTTCTCTGAATATGGACTCTTGAACCAGATATCCTAGGTTTGTGGCCAGCAATTCCACTGGTTAAATGTCTCACCTTTGGCAGGTGTTTAACATCTTAGTACCTTAGTTTATCATCTGTAAAATGGTCTGATAATAAACCAAGAAAGAAACAAACCAGTTACCATCGAGTTGATTCTGAATCCAGGGCTCCCTGGTGGCGAACTGGTTAAGAGCTCAAAAGTGGTTAAGAGCTCAAAAGATCGGCAGTCCAAATCTACTGGCTGCTCCTTGGCAACCCTATGGGACAGTTCTACACTGTCCTACCGGGTCATTGTGAGTCGCGGTTGACTCAGTGGCAAAGGATAATAACAGTACCTATCTTATAGTGTTGTTTGGAGAGAGGATGAGTTACTTCGTGCAGTATACTTAGGGCAATACCTCAATAAACGTTAGCCATAATGTTTATGATAATGTGATCAGCAGGATGATTAATATGAAGAAGTCTTTACATATAAAGTAGAGGTTCTTTGGCATATTTGTGATTATGAAGGTTTAAAATGTTTCTGTTTTACATATATTTTGGTTGTTAGATTATTGTCAGATATATGGTTTCTGAAGATATTCTCCCAGTTGGTAGCTTGTCATTTCACTTTTTTCGTAAAGTCTTTTGATGAACAAAAGTTTTTAATTTTTATGAAGTCCCATTTATTTATTTTGTCTTTTGCTGTTTGTGTTTTTTTATTATATTAGATAAAATCCATCGTTGAAAACTAGCCCTGACAGCATTGTCTCTGCTTGTTCTTCTAAGAATTTTATGGTTTTAGTTTCCACATGTAGGTCCGTAATCCATTTTGAATTTGTTTTTGTATATTGTGTGAGGCATTGATACCGTTTCATTTTTCTGCATGTAGAAATCCAGTTTACCGAGCACCATTTATTGAAGAGAGTTGTCTTTCCCCATCGAATGAACTTAGCACCCTTGTCAAAAATCAGTTGATCGTAGATGTATGGGTTTATTTCTGAACTTCAATTATTTGCCATTTGTCTATGTTCTATTGTTATACCACTATCAGGCTGTTTTGATAACTGTAGCTATATAGTACCAACAACAAAAAGACAAATAACCCAGTCATAAAATGGTCAAAGGACTTGAATAGACATTTCACCAAAGAGGACATTCAAATGGCCACCAAAGACATGGAATGATGCTCAGTGTCATTACTCATCAGAGAAATGCAGATCAAAACCACAGGGAGCCACCATTTCACTCCTACTAGGATGGCTCAAATAAAACAAACAAACACCCAGAAAATAACAAATACTGGCGAGGATGTGGGGAAATTGGAACCCTTATCCATTGCTGGTGGAAATGCAGAATGGTACACCCATTGTGGAAAACAGTGTAGCAGTTCTCAAAGAACTAAAAATAGAACTACCATATGACCCAGCAATTCCACTCCTAGGTATATAACCAAAAGACTTGAAAGCAAAGATGCAAACAGAGACTTGTATACCAATGTTCATTGCAGCACTATTCAAAATAGCCAAAAGGTTGAAACAACCTAAATGCCCATTAACAAATGAATGGATAAACAAAATGTGGTAGATACATACAATAGAATACTACTCAGCCAGTAGGAGAAAATGAAGTCTTGATACGTGCTATAGTGTGGATGGAGCTTGAAGACGTTATGCTGAGCAAATAAGCCAATTACAAAAGGACAAATATTATATGACTTCACTTATATACATAGATAAGAAATGGCAAATGTATAGAGAACAAAGTTTATTAGTGGTTACCAGGGGCAGGTGGGAGGGGAAAAGGGGGGTAATGGTGATGGAGAAATTACATTGATTAAAGGTAGGGTTGTACAACCCATTATTGTAATTACTATCAATAAGTTATACACCTGTAAAAAGTTGAACTGGCAAAAGATAGATACATGTACAATAATGACAAAAAAAAAAAAGTAGCTACTGAGGCTGTTTATGTACAACCAAACACCTCATGGGATTTGGTTCCTTGGTTTGGAGATTTAGGGTCATGGTTTCATGGGACATCCCAGTTAATTGGCCCAGTAACGTTATTAGTGCTTCTCTTCTGTCTCCTAGTTCATTTTGTAGTGCCCGGGGTGTTAAAAGCTTGCAAGCGGCTCTCCAAGGCACAAAAACAGGTCTCTATTCACCTGGAGCAACAGAGGCATAAGGAGAGACAGGAATAGGAGGAGGATATGGAATGTGAGGCTAATTGCCTCCATGACAGCTGCCTCCTTTGCCATGAGACCAGAAGGAATGGATGGTGCCTGGCTACCATTACTGAACATTTTGATCAAAAATTCCAAAGAAAAATCCTGATCAAAAGGGTGAAAATTCAGAACAGAATTTCAGAGTCTTAGGGACTCCAGAGTTTCTGGATCCATGGAGGTAGATGAACCATGGAAATAATTGCCCTGAGATAATCTTTAAACCTTAAACCAAAAATATCCCCTGAAGTCTTCGTGTGACCAAACAATAGTTTGGCTTAACTAGTAAGAAAAGGTCTGCCTTGAGCACTGTGCTCTTTTAAGAACTATCTATATGGAATTAAAGTGACAGCAGCAACTCAGGAGATTGGATGGAAACTTTAACGGTCAGTGAGTTTATGTTAATGTGGGGGAACAGCTCAGATGGGGAGGGTGGGAATGGTTGCTCAGCTTGAGGAGTAGAATCAATGTCCCAGAATTGTACATGTAGAAGCTGTTGAATTGTTGTATGTTTGGCTGTGTATATTCTCAACAACAACAACAAAGTAAATAAAATTTAGGAAAAAAAATCCAAGAATCTAATAATCTAATACTCAAATTTTTTTTTCTTTTATTTATAATACACTCACTCGTACACATTCAGTAATATTTTGTTCCTGTAGGAGCAGTAGCACAGTCTGGTTGTTAGTGATAATATGTATTAGAGTGAAATCTTTCATAGTGGAAAGAGCAGAGGGTGCAGGAAAAAATCATAACCGAAATAGTAACAGCAATAACTAACATTTGTTGAAGGTTGACTACATGCCAGGCAGTGTGCTGAATCCTTTCCGGTTTCAACTTCTAGTTTTTCATCTTGCTAGTTATGTAATATTGGAGAACTTACTATCTACTTTCCTAAGCTCAGTTTGATTATCTGTGAGACTGGATATTGATTATCTGTTCTTTCTTCCTCGATGGGGAATTATTAGGATGAAATTGGATAATGAAGTGAAAATGATTAATGAATTGGCACATAATCTTAGTCTGTTTTAGTTTGGAAGCTCTGCTGAAACCTGTCCACTAGGGGTAACTTTACTGGTATTTGAGATTATCGGCATAGCTTCCAGCATCATAGCAACATGAAAGCCGCCACAGTATGGCTATAACTGTACATCAACAGGGAACTGCCAAAAGTTCCAACTGGATTCAGAAGAGGATGTGGAACGAGGGGTGTCATTACTCATGTCAGATAGATCTTGGCTGAAAGCAGAGAATACCAGGAAGATGTTTACCCATGTTTTATTGACTGATAAATAAAATAAGAGGGAGACCCTTAGCGAGATGAATTGACACAGTGGCTGCAACAGAGAACTCAAACATAGCAACGATTGTGAGGATGGAGTAGGACTGGACAGCGTTTTGTTCTGTTATACATAAGGTTGCTATGAGTTGGAGCCGACTTGGCACCTAAAAACAACAACATAATCTTATGTGATAACACATTGATAAATTATATAGCTGCCATGGTTAACAGCTGTTCTTGATTTTTGTTGAGATCGTAAATGTGTTAGGAGCTGCTGACTTTTCTGAACACAGTTTTACTGCTGGTTTAAAATAGGTAGGTAGGCAGGCAGGCAGGCAGGCAGGCAGGCAAAGTGCTCTTGTGAAGTGCCCATATATCCATTGTTATGAATTATCTCCCTGCCACACACAGAAGTTTTCTTTTTTAGTGTGGGTATCCTTGGAGTGTGTTTGTGTTGTTCAGTTATCTGTTGCAGAAAGAATGGACCCATACCCAAATGCTCTGATTTGAATAGTCTACCGAGCAATAATTCTGGTTTGTTTGCCCATCTGGCTGCCAAGTAAATTGTGAGATTCTCCACAGCATGACTCATAGCCATCTTTGTGTCCCTAGCAGCTAGCGAAGTATTCGATGCCAGCATGTAGCATGTAGCAGATAATAAATGTTTGTAGAATACGTGAACAGACAACTAATGGGGAGGCAGTTAATCTGATCTGAGAGTTTGCTGTATTTCTAAGGATTAGAAAACTAAGCTTCCAAAAAAACTTTAAAAAGGAAATTACTTAACTACGAGGATATGGCTTCTAGGAAGAGTATGTGATGTCAAATAGGTTATAGTTCTGTATTTTATCTATTTATCACTGGTTGGGGGGGTTATAACATGTAAATGTTACAACTATTTTGAAGTTTATCTTTTAACTAAATATATTTAATTAAACAGAGGTGGGCTAGCAGAAAGACTAAACGAACTACAGAATCGAGAAAGATCTGCCATTTCTTTTTGGAGACATCAGTGTGTTTCTTACCCAAAGACACTTGAAGGTAAGTCTTGCACAGGCATAAGACTGTGGGTAAAGAATACACTGTATAAAAGTATTTTTACTCTAAAATATGTGAAGTTGATCGTTAATATTCGTGATTTTTTTCTCTGTGTATCATATTGTTGTTGTTGTTGTTGTTAGGTGCTGCCGAGTCAATTCAGACTCAGCAACCCTATGTACAACAGACCGAAACACTGCCCAGTCTTGCGCCATCCTCACATCCTTGCTTTGTTTGAGCCCATTGTTGCAGCCACTGTATCAATACATGTCAATACACATTTGCCCAATGTAATACATCATTTGATTTCTTGACTGCTGCTTCCATGGGTGTTGATTGTGGATCCAAGTAAAATGAAATCCTTGACAACTTCAATATTTTCTACTATTAATATTCTCACCAGGTGAATCCTTGGAATATGTGTTTTAATAGGCTCCTGAGTGGTTTTCACACATGCTAGAGTTTGAGAAATGCTGTTCTTAGAGGTAATCCCCCAACTAGTAATATATTTTATTAGATATAACCTATGGTCCAAAGTATTACACATGCCTTTAATAGAGTTTTCCATTCTTATCCCATTTATTACCTTTAAAATTTTTTTCCCAGCTATCTTTTAGCAACCATCTTCTCTCTTTTAAATTCTTTTATCAGAGTATTATAATATGACATATGCAAATATGTATCAAGATGATCTGATACATATGACCCAAGAATACTTTTCATTTTATAGAAATCTCTGGGTCAGCCCATTTCTGTACTCACTACATCGTTTCTTGGCTTTTTTTTTTTTTCCATATGAAGGATTATGATTTTAAATAATTCTCTTTACGATCCATTTAATCAGTCAGAAAGCCAGGTGTACATAAATATTGTCTAGTTGCGTTATTCAGGGGAGTCCTAATAACAAACTGGCTTAACTCCAATAGAGAATTTAATGGTAATCCTAATTAAACACCACAGGGAGAAGACCTAATGATTTAGACATTGGTTGTGAAGATTGGCAGGCCTCCTCCATCTGGTAACTCCTAGCTTCAAGTCCAATAAAAGTAATGCTTTATTTTGCAGTATTTTACTAGAATCCTCTGAAATTATTTTCCCTGTTCTGGCAGAGACGTGTCCATCCTTGAACTAACCACTGTGGCCAGGGTGGAATATAACCAAAAACCTTTTCAGACTTATTTAATAAACATCAGCAGGAACCATTTGTGATTTTACAGTGTTTGCTCTTCTTTTACTCTTTTAGTGATCTTTCATGTTGTCCTGCTTACAAATATCTGCATGTTTGTACTTAAACCTCTAGAATATGAATGACCTGGATCTGTATTGATTACTTTATTCTATCACCTTCCTATCTCCACTTATATATGTAGTTTCTGTTTAGTCTTTATGTCACTTATTTTAAATTTAGATTGGGGTTATATGCATTATAAACTTCTTTTGTTCTGCTTGAACCAGAAAAATACGGCCTTGCCACTTGAACTCTCAGGCTTGCTTCTCCTTCCTGTTTTGCTTTTGCCTCCTTCCTTTTGAAGTAATTACACAAGACAATGACAAGCTTGAATTTCTTTTTAGTGAAATCATTTTCAATTCTTAGTTACAGAGACTAGCTTTTTATTCAGGGACTGGGGTGGTTGTTAAAATGTAGGATGGGAAAGAGGTTGGAAAGGATGTGAGACAATAAGAGAAAGATAGCAAATGTAATGACCCAGATATACAGATTTTCCCTTGATTGTGGCCACCATAGACTTCAAAGTCCAGAGCGTTGGAGCTGTCACATACTACATTGGCGTTCATGTCACACCCTTTTCTCCTTTTCCCTCACAAAAAGGTGGATTGTTAATTCTTTGAGGTTTCTAAGTACCTCATTGGTGAAATGAGAGTATATGGCATAGAAGAAGGAAGCGACTTGCTCTAAATATTCATCTACTGATTCCCAGTACCTTGCTCTTTAAATGATACCCCTCCTGCGTCATGTAAATAATTTTTTACTCCTCTACCAATTTCCTGTTCGTATTACTATTGAGGAATAAGAAAATAAGTAATCCAAATTGGAATTTGCTTGTTTAGTAAGGTAGCTATCCTGAGTTTTTTTGACTTTATAATCTCAAAATATATTTTAAATATCCTTGAGGTAGGAGCAAGAGTTGGACAAACTTTAAATTAAACCCTAAATTCCTTGGAAACAGCTGGGGGAGAAAAGCTTGTTTGTCCTCTTTCATCCTTCAGTGTTATCCTCATTGTCATCGTGCCACATTTGGAGGTTCACTGTCTGCCAGGCAGAATGCTTTGGGCTCACCTTGTATTAAATCATTTACTGTGTGATATAATCCTCTAAGATAGAGTTTACTTTCCTCATTTTCCAGACAAAGATATTGTAAGTTGAGTATATGCTAAAAGATGATTAATTGTAAGTTGAGTATATGCTAAAAGATGATTAATTGTAGATTGACTATATGCTAAAAAATGAGTAAGCCCAGATTGGGATTGCTGTCTCTAAAGTCTAAGTATAAAGTTTTATTAACTAATCTGTGTGGGCCTTCATTTCTTTATCTGTTGAGGCTAGAGAAAATTAGGGCTGAGAAGTCAAGAGATTAAGGAGACAGCAAAGTCAACAATATTAACACAAACGTGTTTTTTCTTCTGCAATAAGTAATCTTTCAAAGTGTAGGTCTGTATTACATTCTTGAAAAACAGCTAATTTGAGGTGCATAGGACACAGGTTTGAAGATTGTGAAGACTGAGTAAATCATGGATTTGTGTGTAGTGTTGTTGTGTGCCGTCGAGTTGATTCTGACCCATGGTGACTCTATATGACATAGTAGAACTGCCCCATAAGGTGTCCTAGGCTGTAATCTTTACGAGAAGGAGCCCTGGCGATGCAGTGGTTAAGTGCCCAAGTGCTAACCAGAAGTGTTGGTAGTTCGAACACAACACCTCCTCCACAGGGGAAAGATATGGCAGTCTACTTCCGTAAAGATTACAGCCTTGGAAACTCTATGGGGCAGTTCTGCTTTGTCACTGTGAGTTAGAATTGAATCGATGACAATGGGAAATCTTTACAGGAACAGATCTCCAGGTCTTTTCTCCTGTGGAGCCACTAGTGGGTTCAAACCGCCGGCCTTTCAGTTAGCAGCCAAATGCATTCGTGTAGGATCTTCTAAAACCTTATGGTTTTAATAGAGAGGTGGTGGATTGCTTTCTTAGTTATTGATATACACTAGAAATCACTAAACAATGTAACCTGGCTTCTCACTTCAGTGAATTGAGCAAATTAGCAAGCACAAAGCAGAGTATCTTCTGAAAGTCTGCATGGAAAAATGACCAAGTGAAACAAGTGTGACTGGCTGTACAGGAGTGAAATGGGGAAAATATTATCTTTTATTTGGCTTCATAGGCACTAAATAGCTTATTTGGAGTGCTCCTTGTTATTTCCTTTCTTGAATTGGGACATAAACCAAAACCAAAACCAAAACCAGTTGGCATCGGGTCGATTCTGACTCATAGCGACCCTATAGGACAGAGTTGAACTGCCCCATAGTGTTTCCAAGGAGCAGATGGTGGATTCGAACTGCCATCATTTTGGTTAGCAGCCAAGCTCTTAACCACTGTGCCACCAGGGTTCCAAATTTGGACATAGGGATATTTAATTATTCCTTGAATAATCGACAAAAAAGAAAAAAAAATTATACATTAATCTGATATATGAGTGTGACCATCTCTGATAGATTTTTCTTTTAGAGATCTAAACATGTTTGAAATTTGAGTTTATTTTTTGTTTCCTTCCCTTAAATAAATTTCTTATTTTTCAGGTCTTTTATATCAGCTCCTTTATGTCTCACTACAATAAGTTCTCTCAATTTTTTTTGATACAATTTATTATAAATATATATTAGGAAGAACTTTTTATTATTTGATATTTTGAATACTTTGTGACCTAGCAGAAGAATTTTCTCTTTCAACATAAAAATAATATTTTTTATTGCTATATACTTATAGCAACTAGATAAGTGAAAGAAAATAGCCACAATGGACTCAGAGATACCCAATGAACATGAAGATGATGTAGGACCAGGCAATGTTTCATTCTGTTATATATAAGGTTACCAAGAGTTGAAGCCTACTCGATAACAGTTAACAATAAGTATAAGAAAAACTCATAAATATGTCAAATATGTAGAACTCCATCTCCGCCTAATTATCCTAAGAACTGAAGTTTAATAAACAGCTGAAATTCAATGATGGATCATTAAAATATCTATATCATTAATCTAAACTCTTTCAGCCTAAATTTTCTTATTGAAAATGAACATAATTGTAGAACTCCTCTCATCAGCTTGTTGTGATACTAGATATGATAATGCATGTGAAGCACTTAGAATAGCATCTGATGCAAAGCAAGCAATGAATAAATGGTGACAATAAAAGAAACAATCTTTTCTTCTGAGGCCTGTTTGATATCAAATTTGGTATTTCAGAAACAACCAAAAACAGCATCTCTTTCTTTTCCTTAGTTGTACCTTTGGCTTGGATGTACCTTTGATTTTTTTTTTTTTCTTTCTTTCTTTTTGTTTATTGTTTTTACTCATGTGAAATTCACATAATATAAAATTAACCAATTTAAAGTGATACATTCATAGGCATTAGGTACATTCACAATGTTGTAAAACACCCACCTGTACTAGTTCTAAAACATTTTAATCACCACAAAATAAAACACCACTAAGCAATTATTCCCCGTTTGCTCCTCCAGCAGTCCCCTGTCAATCATTAATCTGCTCCCTGTCTCTATGGATCTACGTATTCTAGATATTTCATATAAATGGAATCATACGATATGTGACCTTTTGTGTCTGTCTTCCTTTACGAGCATAATGCTTTCTGAGTTTATCTGTGTTATAGCATGAATCTTGACTTCATTCCTTTTTATGTCTGAATAATAGCTCATTGGATGGATATACCACAATTTGTTTCTCCATCCATTGATGGACGTTTGGGTTATTGCC